ACCCCCACCACCACCAGCATGCCAGACCCTATTGCCCTGATTTTTTGCAGGAGTAGGGGGGCACGTTCTTCCTCCAAAAGCCAGGGGCAGGTGATGGGGGTTAGGCAGGGGAGGTGTGGGCAGTGAGACATGGAGGCAGCAGCTGCTTAAAGCATCTGCAGAACATCTGGGGGGAAGGAGTGGGAGGCGCATCTGGCTGCGAGGTACCAGCAGAGGGTTCCTGTGCCAGTGGTAGAGAGGATGTGGGTCCCAAGCCCTGCACACCCAACAGGGAGGGAACACTGGGCACAGAGCCCAACACCCAGTGCCGCCACCCTGCAGTGATGCCCCTACCTGCTGAAAGCAGGCCTGCACCAGGTTCTTGGAGAAGAGGTTGTGGATGAGGTCCAGGAAGGTGTCCAGGCTGGAGACCTCCTTGCTGTGCCTGCCCATGCCCAGAGCCTGCTTTATCTTGGGGTTGCCTAGGTGGATGGTGAGGATCAGGATGACACCCAGCATGGTTGCCAGCACCATGGTGCACACACAGTACACCATAGCCCGCATGCCCATGCACCTGCTTGACCTGGTGTCTAGCCCTGCCAGTCCTGTGCCACACACACCCCAAGCCTGGCTATGGGCTGGATGTGGTGCGGGACCCTGGGATGCAGCCACCTCTGGGGTAGGCACATTACAGTCTGGTTATACGACACCTCCTCAACCAATGCTGAGATGCAGCTGCCTTTGGGGTGGGGTAAATTAGAGGGAGGCTCTACAGGGGCTCTAATCTGTCCAAGGAGATGCAGCCGCCTCTGGCTCTTCCTCCATGGCTGCAATTAGACTTCTAAGGGCTGGGTTTAGGGTAGGTCAAAAGTCGGAGGTCAGGGCTGGAGAGGGGAGGCAGGGGTTCACTCCCTGGACCTGTTTCTGCTTAGGCAGAGGAAGCAGCCAGACTTGTTCCTCAGGGTGAATGGGGTGAAGGGAGATGCTGTGGGCCCCACCCACTGTGACCTTGCCCACCCAGGAGGCCTCCCTGGTGCCCCTCACTCCCAACCAGCAGCCCCTTGCCCCCCAGCCCTCCTGGTGCCCTCCTGACCTGCCGCCCCCTGCCCCCCTAGCTCTGCCAGTGCCCCTCATTCCCAACCGCAGCCCCCAGTCCCCCCAAGCCCTGTTGGTGCTTCTCACACCCAACCAGCAGCCCCCTGCCCCCCAGCCCTGTGGGTGCCTCTCACTGTGTAGCAGCTGTAGCAGCCTGTGCCCCCCTCTCTAAAGGTTCAGGTCCTTTCAGGAAGCCCCAGGCCCCAGTCCTGCTCTTCATAAAACCAGTCTGAGCAGAACCAGCTGCCCCCAGTGCAGGGGAGGAGATTAACTCCTTCCCTCCCAGAGCAGGCAGCCAAGGGCTGGCTGTATATACCTTCCACCCCCATGGGCCCATTCCACTCCAGAGCTGACTGCATGGCATGGCTGGTGGAGGGGGGGGTTCCCCTCACTCATACCCCCCACAACCCTAGAGGGAAGCTGGTGTTGGTCTCTCCTGGGGGGAGAAAAGGGAGGGAGAAACTCCTCACTAACCCCATGGGGTACAAGTGGACCTAAGACCAAGCCCCACTGACCTCCTCCTTGCAGGGATGAATAGAGACCCATCACCTGGGTGGGGGGGGTTCTGAGACTGCCCCAGTCTCCCCCCACCTTCAAGGCCTGTCTTCCCCCCCCCCGGCTTTCCTTATGGCTTTAATATAAAACAGTATGGGACAAGGGGCCATAAAAAAGCCCTGGGAGGTGAGAGGCTGGTTGGTGGTGGGGGTCCAGGGGTTGGTGAGTACCCGTTCCCCACCCTGGTCCCCACTGGCTGTCCCTAACCCCTCCTTGCTCCATCTTCCCCAGCTTCCAAACCTCAGCCTTGTTTTTCCTATTAGTCCTGTTTTAAAAGATAAAACAGCTGTCTCTATTGAGGGGGGGGAGGAGAGAGAGGGTGAGAGAGAGAGAGAGAGAGCGTGTGCGTGTGCATGTGTGTGCGCGTGTGCATGCGCATGTGTTGGGGGGGGTTCTACCCTGGCTCTGCGAAAGCAATGGGGTCTAGGGGTGGCAGGAGCGCAGATGCCTGGGTTCTAGCCTGACTCTGGAGGGGCCAGGGGGGGCCAGGGCTGGGGGTTGGGGTGAGGAGCTGGCAGCCTGGAGGCCTGGGTTCTGTCTCTGCTGGGAAGGATCCAGGGGGCCTTGAGTGAGGTCATATTCATCACTACAGAGGTCAGGATCCTTCTAGCACCTCCTTCTGCCTGTGGCTGCTCCTTTGTCACCCCAAAATTAATTCCACTCCCCCCCCACAATGCCCAGCCACCAGGAGGCAGCACCAATGCTCAGCACTCACCTTCCCTCAGCCCCCACACCCTACTCTGCAATTGGGGGCAGGGGGAGAGGGCGGGAAGAGGGCGGGGGGTTGTGAGTCAGGAGTGAGGGGCACTGGCAGGGATTTTGGGGGGCAAGGGGCTGCAGGTCAAAAGTAAGGGGCACAGGCAGGGTGGGGGAGCTCCCTGCCTTGAGCACTGTGCTGGGACTCTGGCGTCCCACCCCGTAAGCCCCATGGAATGCAGCCTGGGGGGGCTGGGGGTTCGTCGGGACACGTTGGCCCCACCCAAGCACTGCCTGAAAATGGCTCCTGGCCAGGAACGCACAGGCGGGGGGAGGGCCTGACCCTCCGCCCCCTAGATCCATCAGCCCGGCATGTGGCACAGACCCCCAAACCCCTTAGCACCACAGCGCCCTGCAGCTTTCCCCCCTTGCCCCCATGTGCACCTACAGACACGCACACACCCTGCAGGCACACACGTGTATATACCGATGGATACACCCAGAGACATGCATTTGTGTATACACTGGCACACACCAGTGTATACACTGACACATGCACACACATGCCCAGCACACACACACAACTGTGTATAAATCATCATACATATGCATGTATCTGTCACACATGTATACACTGATGCACACACCAGCCACACACATACATGTGTATACACTAACGCATACCCCAGACATGTACTCATATGTATACAACAGCCCCCCAAACATGCACATACATGTATACACCCACATACATACGTGTATACACCAACACATGCAAACATGCACCCCCAGACATGCACACACACACACACACCCCACAGGTGCATACAACCTCCCACCTCACCACCCAGCCCCGCCCTGCCCTGCCCCACCCCGCCTTTGTCTCCAAGTACAACCAAATGACAGGCAAACCTTTTCCCCCCCCACACCACCATGAGGGACAAGCCCAACCCATGCCTCCCCCCCAGAACCCCTTTGCACCTGGACACACACACACACACACACAACTTTATCTTCCCAGTGTACAGCAGGCTCACGCACACACACACACTTGTTTGGCTTGTCCCCTCCAGCAGGGGGCAGCACATGCAGGCACATACATGGAGTGGGACCTATGTGCTCCAGAAGGGGGTCTCTCACACACACCCCTCCCTCCAGCAGGGGGTCACACACACACACCCTCCAGCAGGGGTTTCTCTCTCTCACAAACACACACACACTGTAGGACAATGCACACATGCACAGACAGCATATGCCAACATGTGTACAGGTCCAGAGTACATGAAATACACACGCAATGTATGACACAAAACATGCTCATACAACATGCAACAAAACACACACAATATAGGACACAATGCCTCATCGCACCCCTCACACACACACCCTGGGCATAGACGGCCTCTGACGATCTGTTAACAGAGTTTTTTGGCAAGATTTTTACATATTTTATTTATTTACTGGAATCCCCAGGAAAAGCACCAGGAGAAGCCCCCATAGGCCCTTCACCCACTGCTCATTCTTCTAGTTAGCCCACCCCATAGTGACCCCCACCCCTGGGACCCACATCCTGGGGGACCTTTTAATGGAGTTTTTGGGAAGACATTTCCATAGGTTTTTTATATCCCCTAGAAAAGCACTAGGAGAAGCCCCCACCGGCCACTGTGGGGTGTTCACCCACTGCTCGTATGCATAGCTAGCCCACCCTGTAGTGACCCCCACCCTTGGGATCCACAAACCCAGGGGATCTTTTCATGGGGTTTTTGGGAAGACATTTCCATAGGTTTTTTCCCTCCAGAGAAACTCCAGCAGGGGGAAGGCAGCTTAAATGGTTTCACCTACTGCTCCGAGATGGTGTGTGAAACGCCCCCCCATCCTGGCCCCCC